TAAAAATTTCCAACATAAATAATCCGTTGGAATTGTCGTTGAAATAATTTCTTTTAGAATAGATTTCCATTGGAATTTTATCATGTTATTGTAGTGTGCCCAATAATCAAACTAATAATGTTGTTTACAATTAGGTTTTTAATAACATATAATTTTTTCATACCCGAACATTTTATGAGCATTTTCCGCTCAAAACATTAATTACCTACTATAGATGGAAATAATATAAAATGATCTAAATAAAAAATAAATCATTAATTGAATAATATTCATATAACTCGATTTTCAGTTTGTGTTTGTTTTGGTAAATTCTTGGTTTTCTTTAATTACGTTGATAGTGGTTTTGTAGGCAAAGATTATGTAAATAATTATATGTAGCCGATTTTGGAACTCTTATTTATCAAAGATTTTTTTTATTTTTATTTTAACAGATTTATTAGAATCATTGATTTTGATTAGCATATATGTTACATACACACACACAAAAAAAAAAAAAATAATTTTATAGTAATATTTAAATTTACATGACGTCAATTTTGGAATTCTCATTTGTGATGATTCTTTTTTATTTTATCATATTTATTAGAACCAACAATTACAAAATATAAATTTATATTAATATCTAAATATAATTATATTAATATTTAAATATATTTTTCATTGTAGCAGGTTTTGAGAATGAACGATTTTATATAAGATATATACAAATCTTTTTTTTAGATATAACCAATTCCCTTTATTGGTATTCTTTTTGTCAATTGTTTTTAAAAGGAAAATTTCAAATTTTGTGTAGTAAATCGAATTTTTGTTTTTTGTATACACAAAATATAAATTTATTGCAAAATATACATATATATAAATTTACTACCTAAAAAGTTGTCACACATATAATAGGAAAGTTGTCCAATTAAAAATTGTTCAGTTTGAAAATATATAACAAGTTGTCACACATTAAAAAAAAAATGTTTGACTTGAAAAAATTAGCCTGAAGTAATGTCTGATCACTAATGTTTTATATTTTATATCTAATCTCTGTCATAAAATTAGTGTGATGTAATATTTAATGTTTTGTATTATTCATACATATTTTTGTAGATACACACTAATTCATTTGTCCAACTGTTGTATAAATTATCATATTATGAATAGATCAATCTTAGACTTCCATTTAAGTTCCAGTGACACCAGTTCCTTCGGATTTTGGGGTTCCATTTAACAGTCATGGTCAGTCTTTTTGTATAAAATATAGAAATATTAGTGAATATTATATAGCTAATCAAGTATAATCGATATTAAACTAACAACTCATTGTCTGATTGCCTAAGTAAATTATTATAAAAAGATCCATCTTAGGATTTCATTTATGTTCTAGAGCACCAGTTGCTTCTAATCTTAGGGTTTCATTTAAGATCATGGTCAGTCTTTATGTGCGTTGACATATTATAAAAGAAATCGGTTCTTAGCAACGACCTATTATATATTGTTGTTTTTACGTGTAAGTAATAGATAAGAGATGTGCATTGGCATGTTCTTAAAAAAATCTTTTTTTGATCAAGAATAATTATATGTTGTTACGCGTGCAAGTAATAGGTCAAGAAGAGTAAAGGTCAATATTTATTGTACATTGGTATGTTAAGTAATAAATCAAGAAGAGTCAAGGTCAACATTTATTGTACGTTGACATGTTCTTAATGAAATCGATTTTTAGTCACGGACAATTATACTGTTTGTTTCGCGTGTAAATAATTGAAAAGTGTTGAAAATATTAGTTTGTGGGGACGACGAGTTGCTCAGATATTGAACAAATAATGTTGTGTACAAGAAAGTTTAAATAATATATTTTTTTGCATGAAGAACATTTTATGGTTTGATAATTTTCCTACGAATTATCAGTCTTTTATTTATTAATATATTTTAATTTTTAATATTCTCCAAAATAAATACAGTTCGTGCATCGCACGGGTTACATACTAGTTGTTATAAATTATAATGTTAAATTAACAGGTGTCTGATTGTCATATGAATTGATAGATTATAAAGAAAATTCAAACATTTATAATATACATTATTATTAATTATGAAATATATTAAAATATAATTATTGTTATAATTTTAATATAATATACATTACCTTTGTTTTATAAATTGTCGGGTTGCCACGATTTTACAATTTTACCATCACTTATTTAGCCAAATACTTATTTGACTGAATCTCTGTTGTAAATTCTAGTTGTACTTA